CCCGCGCGAGTGAGGGTTCAAAAAGGAGCCCCTATATATAATCCTCGTGCATGTGGGGGGAAAAGAAAAAAATACTTGCTCACTTCACTTATGGGCATGGTGCACGGTACCCGCACCAGTATCGTGGGTAGCTCGCTCGGAGAAGGAGCATGGGCCGGCGGTACTGGAATGGGCAACAACTGCTTAAAACTGCTAAGCTCCGGAGATTAGGCACGAACCCCAGCCGGGATCGATTCGGAAAGGGTAGGATACCGGTATTGTAGGGTTGGTCGGCTGGAGAGTGGCAGAAGGGTGGGAGGGGGGGAAGGAAGGATAATTAGTAGGTTGGTTACTGTGCTTGGATGAGACAAGCAGATACGAATGCTCGAGCACTTGTACCTGTATTGAACTACCGTATATCGACCATGCTGTTCTGGGCACTCTCCAGAAGCTGGACCTTCAAGGGGAACAATGATTGAGGATTAGTAGCGCACTATATTCTCGCAAGGAGGGAAGACAGCACGAGCACTAAGATAGATCCCTGACGAGAGATCGTCGATTCAAACCCAGATCAAGCGCGAAACTCCAAATTTCCCCCAGTTCACACAAGACCGCTTCGGTTAACACCCGCTGTTAGTGTCATCGGGCTATAAACCTAGCAATATAAAAGAGGTTAGCACTATGGAGCAGCGCTACACTAGCATGATACTATAACAACTTCGTCTCCTGCCCCCTACCGCAGCTCAGGAACGGAGTGGAATTACCCGCAGACAGGGCAATTGTATTGCAGTTAAGCACAGTACCACGATAGAGGAATAGGGCGGTGGCAAAGAAACGGAGAGAAAGGTTTAAAACAAAAAACAACAATCAAACCAAGTTTAACCCACACTTACCGTATATGATCCGAATAAAAAAAGCAAGCATCCCAAATTCCCGATGTTGCCTCCCCACCTTTTCTCTGATCCGAAGCATAAGCTACTTGTTCGAGTACTTGTACCGGTGCCGCACTTGAACAAGTACCCGTACTTCGCTCGTACACAAGACCGTTCGGCTACCATAAGCCCCTGGTCCATGAAGCACAAGCACATGCGGAGAGGTCCCGCAAAAACGCCAAATACGGTACCCATCCATCTCATGGAGCAGCTCAGGGCGAAAGCTAGTACCGTACCGCGAATTCCTTACTACCCCTACGCAGACCATGATAAATTTAGTAGCGATTGTACAATTGCACGTACACGTACCGTACAGGTAGGCTGGCATCCTTCCCCGCCTCCCTCTCCCTTCCTAAATCCGCTCGGGCAAGTTACAGAAGTAGGCGAGCTCCATCCCCCTTTGCCTCTTACATCTCTGTACTACACATGCTCCCACATCCTCTTCGAAGCACTTGGGGGGGAGACTATTACTTTGCACCTAGGCCCGGTGCCTTTCCTGCTTCCTGTGACTCCTTGATTCTTCTAGCTTCTTCCCGTATTCGCGCAGGTAGAGAACTGCACGAGAGAGCCAGTTTGATAGGATAGGGATTCCATGTTACTAGTCACAATACCCGCAATATAAACCCAGTCGCGGTGGCTATGTCAGGGTAAGAATTGTAATCAGAATACTACAAGATCGTGTATTCGTGTGTGTGTGACTGCTGGAGCTGACAGGAAGGCCTTGGAGACCAGCAACTACCGGCACTGTAGCTTCCTCATCGACCGACGTCGTGGGGTCCTCAAGCTTCATTATCCCATAGGAGAGGCCACTACACACACCCAAACAAATAAAATAGTCATAAAAACCGCATCAAGATTATCACTAGAGAGACGGGACATAAGCTGATGCAGGATTTGGTGGGGGGAAGGAAGTACCCAGAGCACTTACATTTGAGCCCCCGGTCGAATACCAGTAGAGTAATTGCTGACCTGGAAATTACGATCCAAGTCCGGCTCACGTCCCTTAGCCCCGGGCCTATAATGCACCGCTAACAACACAGTCACAAGCGCAAATTAACACATATGTAGAACACCGGTATCCAATAAGCTCGTTCAGTATCGCAGCGAGTCTGGAGAGTCCTCGAAGGTAAGAAGGATGAAGGGAGACAACCTCTCAAAGCCCATGATGCTACGTGAAACGGTGAGGAATGGGAAAATGGGGAAAATAGAAGTTGGAAAACACAACCAATCCCGGCTATCCAAAGGGCGGCTCCATTTTCTTTCGTTCCGCCGGGCCCTCACGTTCAAGTGTGGAGGCCGAAGAATAATCACCGGTGGCCGGTGGCAGGGCTATAGCGCCCTCATCGGGCACTAGCCCAATCGGTTCTATGATAACAGATAGGAAAGGAAGGTTCAATTCCGAGGGAAACGCAGCCATCAAGCTACAAGCAGAAGGCAAAAGCAACATCCCCTTCTCCAGATCAGAGGCTCCATAGAGAGTAAATGGGTACTGGCCCAAGGCCAATTCATGGCTCTAAGTATAGAAAAGCACCAAAGCGAAATGCCCGGACTAAGGAAGGTAACCACCGAGAAGAAAAAAAACAAGGCCCTAAAGTGGAAGCTACCTTAAGCAACAGTACTGCACCAGTGAAAGCTCAAATATTAAAATATCCACAGCTCTACTAGACCGACATAGCCGGATCCCGTAGTAATGTTCAAGCATACACTGCTACAAAGTACGGGGAAGTTTTCAACCTTTGGAAAATTGCCGGTGGCTCTATAATACAGATATATGGCTGCAAAGGCCGAAAGGAGTAGAAAATCAAGCAGATCTTTTTTAGACGACAGGATACAGGATAGTCCCCCCGAAAAACAAATTGAAATGATGGCATGTGAGAAACAAAAAAGTTTATCCGGGGCTCCAGGGTGGCCGGCAACCCCTCACCTCCCCAACCGAGGACTGAGGGATAAAATGCTTGCTTCGGTTACAACACAGTCGTACGTTTTAACGGTGCTCGCGCCAGTACCGGTATCGTAGTTGGAAAGCGGAAACCCGCATTTCATGGGAAGCCCTAATCCCACACTTTTTTAAAAGACAAAATGTGCAGAGCCTTTCCCATACCGGTACTTGTCCAACTGTTACAGGTACAGTGCTGTACTAGTACATGCTAACGATGCGGGAGGGACACGTATGGGCGGACAGCAGGTGCGACCTCGTTTTCTAACGACTTTTCTAATACCGTAACGCTATGGAAGAGCTTTCAGCTCCTAGTATACGCTCTGGCCTCAGAGGGCCATGATGGGAGCTGCCAAAGCCCGAAAAACAAAAGGCCCAAGAAATCCGAGTGAGAATGCGTGATCTTACCCAATTCCCATCGGAAAACCAAGATTCCGGAGGAAACCTACCAAAGAACCAAGGAAAAGGAAAGAAAGAGAGGGGAAGGGGTAAAAAAAGTGAAGAAAAAAAGAAATTTCTTATTCCTGATACTTTCTGAATGCTTTAAGGAGCTCGTACTGTAGCTGTTGCAACAATACGGCAATTACCTTCTTCCTTGGCAATTGGCATTACTACAGTGTAAGACACGGTAAGATTAACTATCCCGTAGAAGGTACCGTAGCCTACTGCGGCCTTCAGGACGAGTACCGTACTCTACAACCCGATACGGTATGTAGACCTCTCGGCTCCAGCCCGGTAGAACCACATCCTCCCCTAAACCTGCAGTTCGGAATTTTTTTCCTAACCGGATCGGCGCCCTCCGAGAGAAGTGCACTTGCACCTCCTGCTCGGTTGCCCGACTCGAGCAGCCACATACGTATATAATATTGTGATACCGTAAAAAATGCAGCCAAGTCTACGATAGAGCTGCACCCAAGTCCAACCATTTGTCCTTGTACAGTACTCCAGTCCGCCATATCCCAAAATCACTCAATGATTCGCCTGTGGCATCGGCTGTCCACAAACGTCTAAAATTTAAGAGAGTAAAACTGACCTGTGTCCTAAACGACCAAAATAACTAGAAAAAGGAAGGGCAAACGCCCAAGGCCAAGACATGTTTTTCACTCACCACACCTCGGCAAAGATTACTGCGATCTTGTCTGTCTGAAAGAGTTAGATTGGTCTCACAGTACTCTATTTGAGTACCTGGGCTGGTTGGTCTGCTCCCGTTCCAGAGAGTCACAAGGAGAAAGAGGACATTATTCTTCCCCCCTCAATCTATGATAGGCGGTTTTGGCGACACAACAGACAGTACAAGTACCTTATGAATCAGTGCAACAGGAATGTCTTACAATATATTGATGTGTCCAATCCTATCACACACCAAGACCCCCTTAGCTTTCCTTGAATGCGGGACAAAACCAGCCTTGGTTTTCCTTGGACAACTCCTACAACCAGTTCCCGGGAGCGTGTTGTGTTCACACTAAAGCATTGTAGTAGTAAAACTTCGGCCATGTATGGCATCAGCAAAGATTCAGCTAACAAGGTTGGAAGAGAAAAGCTTGAAAAATAAAAAGGATAATCGTACAAGCATTATAGAAGTATACTTCTACTTCCTTACACATTTACTATACCCGAGTACAAGTACCACCCCTCCTAGGTTTACTGGAAGGGCATTGATCTAACCCCCCAATCTCTCAGTCTCCCTCTCCCAATACCCCTGTGGATTGAACCCTTGCTTGGATGGAAAGCACCATATCATACCATACTTGTCGCTCGCGTGGGGTCCGATTCCGGGTTGAGTCTTTTTCCTAGGGACAAACCGTACAGTGGCTCATAGAGGCTAGAGCGTACCAGCCCCAAAGCCTGGGGCCGTTACACCGGCGCAATTAGCATCAAGGAGAGCAACCTCTGGCAAGTGCTCAGGTATGGAAGCGGGTTATGAGAAGAGCATGAGCTCAGCAAGTCAAAGCTTCTTGCTCCCCCCCGGCATCGTTCGTAATCGGGGTATGGACGTGGGTGACTGGCCAGCCAGGGATTAGAGGTGTCAAAGCTTCTTGCTTGTTCGAGCAATTCTCATGCCAGACTCATTCTTTTATTTCCTATGAGGGCAAGAACGGTCAGGCCTCTAGAATCCCTGGCTGTCCGGTCACCCACGTCCATACCCGAGTACCGTGATATTCTAGGTTAAACCATTTCACTTTTCGCAGTACTCGTACCGGTACAGTACTAAACGCTTGGGCTCCAAGCCCCTATCCGCATCATCACTCACGAGTGGGAGCAGCTCTAGGGCAAATATAGCATCAATACCGCACCGCGCAAGGGGTATCAGGAGGAAATACTCGCAGTGCGCGAAAATTAAAAAAAAAAGAAGAATTAAAATTCAAAGACATCCGTCCGCAGTATCCTACGTCCATTTTTGGTTGGGTCAGATCCCCAGTAAAGCCATTTTCCACTTTACCCGTGACAACGCCACACTTCAGGAACAAATACTTGTACAAGCATGATACCGGTAACTTGCCGGTAATCCCAACCAACTCAAGTGCCAGGACTGACTTACCGGTACCACCCTGCGAGATGCAAGTACCGGTACTTGTACCTGTACTGGTACTGTACACGTGTACTAGTACGGTAGTGGAACGTGCCAGTTTCTCGAAACATGGGAAAAAGGAAAAAAAACAGGAGGGGAAAAAGTGGAGCCCGCCACAAATCCCCACGCATCCAAACATCAAGGAAATTTAGCAATGTGGGTTTCCCAGCTAAACGGAGCTCTCGACCATTCGCCAAATCCAACGCCCAACGTCTCCCTTACGAGGCGAGAGTGGAGAACAACTCTTATTTCAACGACATCCTACCACCCCACAAACCCCTCTTCTCCTAACATCTGCCCCGGAATAAAGAACCCGAAACCTGGTTGTTGGTTTTCTTCCCTTCTCCTCTTTCCCCTCCTACTTTCGTGTCCCCACATCAGTTACCGGTAGACTACGGCATTCACCTTTCAAGAACCTTTTTATATCATACGTTTCAACAACAAGAACTCTTTTTTTTGTCCGTATTTTTCCTTTCCCTTCGCCACCCCTACCGGCTCGTTCGGTACTATAGCCGCAACAAGGGAGATCCTCCCCCCCTCGCACGTTGTCTAACCACTAGTGCCGTCAGCACGCGAGAGCTTGAGTACAAAACTTAATGCCGGTATATCCGACTGGTGATTTGACATGTGCTGCGCAAGTACCGGTACAGTGCTCCCTTATTATAGAATACCGGTATCCATGGCTTATCCGTATCACCCATAAAAATGGAGGGCTCCCTTGTTCAGACCACGGTGCCCACCAGAGGCCCAGCAACGCGGGAAGGAATATGTGGTTCCTTGAGCCATGGTCGTTTGATCCCATATTCGAAATGCTGCAGTCTAGATCCTGGCTTTTAAGCAGCCAGGCATTCGTACTATAAACCCACAAGGGACTCACCCACCGGCTCACCCATCCGGCCAGACACCAATCCTCTTGCGGTATTGATGTGCAATTCGAGAAGAGAAAGCGCTTACTGTGCTTTTTTTTTTCTTTCCTTGCAGCCCTCGCCTCATGTCATGACCATTGTAATATTGTGTAGTATATTCCATATCACGATCTCGATCCCATACTGCACTCGCACCCGCAAGGCCCCCTTAACACCCCAGGTACCCCACCAACTCCCGCCCAACATAGCTAGACAGGGACGACTCTCCCTCAAGAGATCATCTTCAATCTGGTAACTGCAATTTCCATAAAGAATTTTCACATTTTTTTCGCCAGTACAAGTGAATAGCTTCCGCAATCCTCTAGCAGAAGGCCGGGGAAACATGGCGGCACACCAACCGTTAGGAACACTTTGCGGACGCGAGTGTGCTAGTATCACACTTGTATATTGAGATGCATCACGCCACTCAGTTCCTCTTGCACAAAGCATAATACGGTATGATACCGTACCTCAACTTCTACCATATTGGTGCTCAAACCCCGCTATGGTACCGTGCTAGCGCTCAAGTGCTGTGTCTCTTCTTTTTTTTTTTCTCTGCGCAGCCGAGATTTCCCACACCTTGGCTTCCTTTGCTTGTACTGTCACACACAGCTACGGTATCCCGGACGCCAAAATCCGAAGAATCCATCCGATGCAGCAAGCGATCGGTGCAACATGTTAGGCTGTGGTGTGCAAAGAAATTTGAATAAACAGAGATTTGTATAGACAACGAGGTACAAGTATAAGAGCACGGATTATCGAGATCCGAGATTGCGGGGTGTGAGTGCACCAACCTACGGTCATCAATTCCCTGAATACAAAAGCGAGAAAAGAAATAAATGGCGCACAGCAAGAGCCATCACCCCCATTCAAACATCCCTGAGCGTCCAGACCACACAGAGTACCACCTGAAACTCATGCTGCTTCCATCATTCAGGGCCCGTCAGGAACCGGCACAACCGAGGTACGGTACTCGTGCATCCTGCGCGTGCTTAAAAACAGGAGAACCTAATCAGGAATGACATGAGCGGACAGCTGCCGGAAAAGCTTCATTTGGCAGTTTGAACAAATCTACCGTACGCACCCCACTTCCGCTGCATTTATCCCCGACGTTTAAAAAATGCAGAATCCGGCACGAAGCGAAAAAGCAACCGGATAAGGTGAATAGGGAAGAGAGGGGGTGAGGAGTACAGTGCCGTGCCGGTGAGAGGGGGAGGAGAATAGAAACCGGACCAGCCAGCCGCCCTCGGGTTTAACGAGTCTCCGGAGCGCCGGTAAAGTGCGTTGCGGTCATCGCTCGTACCATACTAGTAGACCCTTGTTAGGGAGGTTCTGTTGGGAGTGATGAACGAGAACTTGAACTTGTTACTCCGTACAGCGACGCTTTCTCACCTTCCTAATGGCGTTGGTTAGAGCTAGTTCAAGTGCAGAGCGGGGGGGGCCCTGGTCGCTCTTGTGAACGTGTACTAGTACTCGAGTACTAGTACAAGTAGTGCGTGAATATTAGCGTGAACTTGAGTACTCGTAGGAGTAAATTGTACTAGTACAGTAAATTTACCGCTATGTTGCTTAAACGAGCCGGCTGATTGGCTCGGGGTGATTTCATTGGCTAGTGATAGGCAACTATCCCAGATAGGGATAGATTTATCGTGCGTGCTGAAGTTCAGATGCGGGAATATTTCCCCTACCTCTCAGAGCCTCATATTCTCCATGCACACACACACTAGTCCGTCTATAACACAAGGTACAATAGAGTTCAAGTCCACGTTTACACACGCAACAGAACCTCCCTGTTGGATCTTGTTTGAACGTCCACAACCGTCGGCTACAATTAATTGTGCAAATCAGGTCCTGACAAGGTACCGGTATCATACCAAAACTGCCGGTAGTAGGGGAGCAAAGTCAACGCAATGCTGATGAGTACAGTACTCGGGTTTGCACATACCACCATGAGACGTTAGAGAATGGGTTTATGTATGATATGTACGAGCTTGGGGGCAAAAGGAGCGGGACCCCTCCCCCAGATCCCGTTGGGCGTAACCAATCCCCCCGATGCCGACTCCCGAAACGGTAGCTGCCTCTTCAGATATCAACATTGCCCTCCCATTGCGATACCCCGGTGCACCCCAGAGCTCTTGCGAGTGTCTTGATACCGGTGGGTTTTCTGTGTAGCACTGTAAGTGTTCTAGAGTTAAACGCTTATGTTCATAGGGAGTCATTCCCTTTTGCGCCCGAGTCCACATGCACCGATACCGTTTTGTCCCATTCTCCGGGCTCCAGAAAATACCTGGAGGTATACAAGCATTGGTGGGGGACGCGTGTTCTTTGTTAGTATCACGATGCACCTCCAGTAGCACACAGGGTGTACCATAGCCAGGGTGTTGGATATCCCATGCTAACTTTCACTCTGGCCTACGTTGCTTAATCACCGCTGCGATCTAGACCTCGATATTGGAACCATAGTTGCATGTATATCATCCCCATTGTGTGTGTTATTGTAATAGCAAGGCGTATGCACTTGCATACCTTGGGGATCGCCTTGACTAGCATCGTATTTTGCCGGCGGAAATTGCTTGGGGTTGGTATCATGCGTAGGGGTTTGTCCAGCTTTCTTTCCCCCATTCCTTCCTCGCAAACAGGGAGGAATATGCAGGCAGCAAAAGTTCTTCCAGTGAATCATTACACCCGATAGTCTAGTGTTCCCGAGCAGCCAGCGCACTACAGCATCAGCAGCACATACCGGTAAAGATATCCAGCCTCAAGTCGCTCGTACTTGCACCAATGCTCCCCCATCAATACATCAACTCGGCTTCCTTTAACCAGAGGGAGTATGGGAAAGGCAAAAAAAGAAAAAAAGTGTCACCCGGCAACCAGAAAATCTCCTTGCTTCAGACAGGCTTATACTCGCACAAGTGCTCGTGGTATCGAGTGCTTGCTCTATCCGTGAGTGAATACTTGTGTTTAAGGTCTAAGCGAGCCCTACAAGCACTACAAATGGGCGCGAGCAATGGCTTACAAGCTGTAACAGAAATAAAGAAGAAAAAAAAGTTACTAAAAATAAGGGAGGAGGTTTGGTTTGGTTTTGTTTGGGTGGCGCAATTGTCGAGAAGGGGTGTTCTTTTTCTTTACTTTTTTCCTTCTCCTCTTGACTCCTTGATGTTCCATGCGGTGCCGGTACTGAAATTAAAGGTGGATGGTCCCCATCCTAGCCCTAATTGCTTGGCTTTTTAGAAGATTTTTTCTTACATCATATCCCTTGGGAGATCTCGGGGTAAGGCTGTGACATGTGGCTGATGTCGCTGTTCGGCATATCTGAATCCGGGTTTGGAGGGGGTGTGAGACTCGCGGCGAATTGAAGTGCTGTTGTGGGCGTCGTGGAGTGCTGGGCTCTAACTTCGTACTCCTTATGGTGACATCGGGTATGTTTGAGTAGAGTACCGTACCTATCATACTACTAGTAGTGAATGCTCGGACGATATCGTACTCTACGAGTAGTATTAGCGCATGTGAGTCGGCACACCAGCAGCCTCTAAATCCTGTAATTTGTGCTCAGACTTCGCAGTTTTTTAGGGTAGTTAATACCCTAAGACCCTTTACCGGTATCAAAGCTAGAACCACCAGTATCCCTGGTCTCAGAATATTCGAAGGAACTGACTAAAGAGTGACAAATGTGGAGAAAGGGATGCTCTTAAACAAGGGCAACACATATCACAAAAAACAGACACAACAACGGAGCCTCCCCCATTCTCCCAGCTCTTCCCTATTCACCACAAGCACTCCTTCACTCCCCTTTCAGAGATCATCCTCTCTTAACCCAAAACTATAGGATTCGAGCTGCGTGTCGACCCCCTTCTAAATCCCTGGGCAACATCCCCCGATAGAGGCAAGTGGGCCGTTGTGCTCGCGCAATGTGCCCGCACTCGAGTACTGTAGACCAGTAATCAAGTTGAATTACCGTAAAAACTGGAATAATTGAGACCAACGCTGGGACGTCCAGAATTTCCCCCTTTGGATTGAACGGAGAAAACACCGCGAGAAAATCCCCCCACCAGTCCGCGGCTAAGACAGGAACAAAAATAAAACAGGCCTTACTAGGAGAGGCAACTCGAACGTCCTTGAGCGGCTCTTAGTTATTAAACTCCAGCTTTGACGGCATTCTCGCAAGGCATGAGACACTCAGACGGGAACCCTTCTTGGCAAAGACCTCGGCAATTTATATATTTACTAATCAAAATTTTGGGTTATAATGTTGGGCCCAAAGCGGACTTGCTGGGGGGTTTTTTTGATGCCTTCACAACTTTATATTGAGCCCCAGAAAAATTATCTACTTGTACCCCCATGGGCACTATCCCCTCTATTCACTCAACTAGAGCACAGTGTTTTCGGGAAATTAAATTTTGGAGCTGTTCTCCGATTGACATCTCCATCGATATAGGGATTAAAGCTTGGGAATGACTGTGATGGGCGAGTGTTAAAATGGTTCTTGTCGAGGTTCTTCTTCGTGGCGCCGGCTGGGTGTCACACACCATACCACCACCCACTCGCTTCTGCTTCTGCTCCCGGGGCTGGTTTCCAGGCACAGAGGTGCGCCCAATCAAGCGATGCGTTCCCCATCAGGGCGATGGTAGACCTTTCCTTCCCACAGCGTTGGTGGTAGGGGAATGAACATCACGACTGATTTATTTTTTCTCCTTCAACGGCTCACCACAAGAGCCATCCGTGGGGAATTTCTGGTTTTTTTTTTTTGGTAATTGTACAAGTAGAGTTCGTAGAATCAGAATGTTTACTAATGAGTGTATTCAGGTTTTGATGGGCTTGTGTGGTGGTGTCTCGAGAATGGCAGGGAGTGAGCAGGGAGTGAGTCCTTTCTGAACCACTCTCTATTTTTACAGGGGGGGGGTCTCAGAATCCTTACAATATGCATGGGCACCATCCAGTGGACATACTGTACCGTGATCGATCTTTTGCCCTCCTTGTCCCTTAAATAATGTGGCATTGTCGTGAAAAGTTTTACTCCGTAGAAATCTAACCTCACCCATCGTAGCTCAAAGTTTCTGCCGCCCGCCTTCCCCATTCCCGCCCCCCTCTTCTGCCGCGGTAAGCTACCGGTGCCGCACGACGCTCGAGTACCGGTATATCCACCGTATTACCAATGCCATACGCCATCTTCTTGGACAGTTTCCACAGCACTGTATCAGACTAAATGGCCCAGTTAGCGGCTTGCTTGCTTGCCTAGTTGCTTATTTCTAGTCTAGGCGGGCGCCAACCCTACCTACAGGTACGAGTATTGTTATGCTCGAGTAACGCCTGCTTATATCAAAGACATGAATAAATGAATTTTCTATCCTTCTTTTTTCCAAGAATCGCCGCCGAGACAAAGAAGTTGAAAGAAGCAAAACAATGAGGTAAAAAGTAGAGGGGGGTGGAGAGAAAAAAAAAGGAGGAAAAAAAATATAAATGCAAGAAATCAGGATAACAGTAGGTTTCAGACCAAAGGGAAAAATAAAAAAATAAAAAAGGCGGCTCCTTCCGTTTTTTTTATACCTGTAGTATTTTTTTTCTTGAGGAACTCTTTTCCGCCCTGTTGATATCTCTCCTATCATTCTGATTTACATAACTTTCACAAAGGAACGAACTAAGTCTTTGGCCCAACCCACGGCTCGCTTGGATACCTTTCCCTGGAGGATCCTTGGGGCCTTCACTTGTGCAACACGATTCGTCGGGGCGGCATCCGAAGGATGATGCTATTCCAGACTAGTCGGACGAATCGTTGTCGATTGATCAGTCAACTAACCAAGCCAGCCCTGAGATGGACCAATCAATCGGCCAACGGTATTTCAGTCATTCAATCGATCACTCAGATGATCTGTGAGTTTAAATGGATTGGACGCTATGCAGAGCTTCCTCCGCATCTTCTCGTCTCTGTGTTGCCCGGGGGAGTCTCACGGATCGAGGCGCATGTTGTGCTGCCTTTGAAACGCAACTGGTGTGAAAGGCCGCATCTGATATCGCAAAGGCTCGGGAGCGGAGTACGGGTAAAGGGATTACGGTAGTGCAGCTGACGGTCTTCGGCTATCACTCGTAGTGAGAATAGGATGATGAGGGATAATGTACTGTATTTCAGGTCACGGTGCATGAGGACGAATTAGGAAGCCGCACAGAGAGTTGCCATCAAGTCTGACGACCTTCCAGTTTCCCGATTTTCGTCATAAAAAGTTTTCTTGGATTCAACCGCCGCACATGCGAGTTCTTCTCATTGACCTCGGTTCTGCCACTGTACTGCGCGAGTGCTAGTGCAGTAGTAGTAAACACTTCCGGGACTACCTTGACGGGAGAGCTGCTAACCTAAAGCATTGTAAACGGCAGCGGGATCAGCCATTCCCTAGTTACTCCCCGCAGATTATACCACCGATGGTACTCGAGTATATGAGGTAAGTACGAGTACTCGAGTAATGGCGGAAAGGTTCACCTACCGTTAGTCTACATCCTGTGAACGTTGAACACGTGTCCATCGCCCTTACAGTAGACATTGTCGTGGGATACGGTACCACAGCACCGGCACTAAGTTAGTAAGAGTAGGGTACTAGTACTCTTACCGCACTCGAGTACTGTAGCTGACAACTCCATCAGTGCATTTCGGGGTCACTTCCCGGCGCCCCATCGTTACTCCCCATTTCCACAATTCCCATCTCGGAGGTACAGTACCCTTGCAGCAGGATCGACGCTCGGGTAACCAGAACGGTCAGGGCATGCCGGGGCAGAAAGAAGAGTGCAAATAAAAAAATAAAAAATAGAGGAATAATGCGTGTGAGCATGGTTTGGTACGGAATGGACCGAGGGAAAAGGGAAGGAAAGGGATGTCTCCATTTTTTTTTTCTACAGGGCGAGGATTGTCTTGGGGGTGGGATGCCAGTAGGGAAGGAAGGAAATGTGATACCGTACTGATATGGGATTCCCTTAGGGCTATCTTGGACCGCGGGATAACTTGGATGGATACCGTACTGTGAATATCAAAGTTGCCTGCCACTTTTCCTCTACTCTCCTAATATCATGCTTGTGCAATATCGTATATTGCTTACTGTTCTTGCTTTGACAGTATAGATATTCGGATTACTGGCGCGGACTAAGTTGATACTGCACGACAACTCCCTATGTCCCTGCTTCCCTCTCACCAACTCGTTCGCTGCTCCCTTAAAGTATGATAACTTCATCCAATATTCCAGCGAGGAAACCAGGGGAAAAAAGATATAATTACCTTACCCGGTTCACCCCACGATCGTACCCCCCCGTCCTCGGCTCGGTACCATCCATACATACAAGTACCTATGGTGGTTCCAATATAGCACTAGTACTTGTACACGTTTTGGTTCAATTCCTCTCTCCTCTCCCATCTATCCTCTCGCCACCAACCATTTTTTGATAAGGAGCAGCCCACACCCTCTCTCGACCCTTTTTTTCTTTCCTTCTTTCGTTCCACACCCATTCGTGTCTTTATTCCGGCAGCCAAACACCCTCGTATTCCTCCCAGGGCCTAGCGCGCGTCGGCGAGAAACATTCCCTTTTTATTTGCTTCTTCTCATTTTCTTCTCGCTCCGCGGTGGCTTCGGTTTGCTTGGGTACGGTACCTTGCTCATTCACTCGTACGGTACCGGTACGCTGCACGTCACGGTCTTCATTTTTTCCCCTGCCGTACTGCGCTCGAGTATCCCTTTATTAGAATTGCCCATGTTGGTGTTGGCCTTCTAAGGGAAGCCCCCACATGCACCAAATTTGGCAAGGCGGGGAGGAGATCGCTAAAGGAGAAGTCCTGTCCCAGTCAAGCCAGTGGTGTAAGGAGGGAAAAATCCTTCACCCCTTCCTCTTTCCCATCCCTCCCCCCTCTCCCCATATCCCCGTCCCCGGGGTGAAGTAATTACCGACAGAGGTAAGCTTATTTATCTCAAGTGCCCAGAAAACGAATCCATTAACTTATTTCTCTGGGTGCACCCTTTTTAGTTTCGACGGGAGATCGAGTCACTCTCTGCTATTTCTCGAGTCTCTCGGGTCCCCGTTATTTTCTTGTAAAGCATTTTCGAAGTGAAACTTTTTTTTCCTGATTTGTCTACTTCATATGCGTATGACTGGAGTGGAAAGGGGATAAAGGGAAACAATAGCGTCTGCGGGGCGGGAGAGAAGAGGCCTGGGAGGAGAGGGAGAAAAAGAAAACTTAACGAGGTCAGAATTGGCGATTCATTAGTCTGACCTATCTGCTGGGGAAGAGGAAAAAATTTGGAGCGGGGCGGTGTTTGAGTCTGGTCTTACCGGTACTGTACTGGTACTTCGCTGCAACCGTTTTGTGTTGTCTGGGTGGAGGGGAAAAAGAGGGAAGGAAGGCAGGAGGGATGAGTGGTGGTTGTCCTAAGGCAGACAGGCGAATATCATACCCACAATACCGGTACGGTTTTACAGCTATCATTACACTCGGGTTGCTGAAGCTTCATTTCTATCTGGTGGAAGCCTGCACTCGGCTATCGCCATTCCCATTATTTGCTGCTCCCCGTGCGTTACGTTGATATTTGGCTCCAGATTTTTTTGGGCTTCAGCAGAAACTGGACCCGGTGGTCTAATAGTCCTTTGTCCTAGCTATATCCCCCCTCTTCCCAGATCCTCAACGGGGATCGAGTACGGGGCTGAGATAAAGGAATACACTGGGACAGTTTCCGTTTTTTTTTTTTTTTTTGGCTGGGGTTTATTAAATACTGGAGAAGGACGAGAAACGGGAAGACGGAAGCGAAATATTTGGGTGAAAGGACGATAGAGGGAGGCTCACAGACAACACCATCGAAAGGCGCGTGCGCCATTGCGAGCAGAAAGTTGAGAGGTGGACGAGTTGGGAAAGAGAGAGAGGAAAAAAAGGAGTGCCTAGGTTTCCGTGCAGATTCTAAGCGGAATTTGTTAAAGGCATATCGGCGACCATCTGCTCCCGCACTAGTAGCTTGGGAACGCGGGATCGAAAAAAGGCCACCGAAAGTGAGTATTCCGTTGTCGCTGCATCATTACCGCCCTTCTACCTCCCAGGGGCCATGTGAACATTTATGGAAATTCCTCATCTTTGATTTTGGGTTTCCTGATCCTGAAACGTGCTTCTACGAACGTTCCGGTCGAGGGGGGAGTGTAACTGGAGAAAGAGTTGTTGATATACTGCGGAGTTCCCAATCACTCATGTACCCTTCTCCGCGCTGATAATTTTCCGTCACAGGTCTTGCACTAACAATTCTACCCTCGTCTTCCTTCATCTAGAGTTATTATCGAGTCATTCTACATCGCCCTCAATCCTTAGCTATCGCCCTCGTGTGTGTGGTCCTTCTTGGTCTTAGCCATGGCTCACCTCCATCACCGCCACGCACCCCACAGCAATTCTGCTCCGGACAGTCCAGATCAGCAACGGCAGCAGCAGCAACAACAACAACAACAGCAACTGCGCCATCAGCGATCTCTTCAGGCGCTCCAGCATGAGCAGTACCAGCTTACTTCAACCGTTTTCCAAATTGATCCCAGACTAGAGTTACCGCAGACTGACATTTTGACCCACCAACCCCATACACTACGTCCCTTACAGTCGCAGTCGCAAGGGGAAGCTTCCTCACCCACCGGCTTCCATCCAAGCATGAATTCACAGCTAGTTTCTTCCCAACTTCCGACTTCTCGAGCGCCCGCCCTAGAATCGCAAATCCACATTCAATACCAGCCTCCCGATCTTCACCCCTCACACTCCCCTTCAGATCCTGGTTCCTTCTTGGAGATCCAGCCTCATATGTCTCTTCACCACCAAAGCTTACAATCTGTGTCAAATCCGCCACATCCACCTTCACCAGTTCAATCTACTCACCAACAATCGCATCAACATCAACGGCATGTCCAACAGCAGAGACAGGCCCCAGCCACCTTGCGGCCTATGGCGCCACCCACAACTGGCACGCAAGGGAATAGAGTGGTGATGTCGACCTTGGGCTCTTCTGGTCTAATCCGGGGCTCCCGAGTTGGTGCCTCGTCAGATGGATCCCAGATGGGAATGGGTTCAGAAATTTTGGCAACATCGGGAGGCGAGAGCCCGGCTGGAGAGACTGCTCCCGTAACTTTACCGGGGAATACAAACACTAGGTTAGGTAGCGGACAGAGTAGTGGTCGTGTTTCTAGTGGACATACTGGAATAACCCCTGGGGCAACAAGTCAAATTACCCCAGTGAAGGATCAGGATGGGAAATTTCCTTGCCTTCATTGCCCTAAAACGTATCTCCATGCAAAGCATTTAAAGAGACATCTTCTAAGACATACAGGTGATCGTCCTTACCAATGCGTTTTATGTAAGGATACATTTTCAAGGTCAGATATTCTGAAGAGACATTTTCAAAAGTGTTCTATTAGGAGGGGAAATCCTACTGGGGCAACACATTTAAGCCATGCGCATGCTCATCAACAGGGAAGACGGCCCAATCATCACCATCCTGCTCCCCCTCCTCCGGCCCCTCCACCACCTCTGCCGGCGGGGGGTCCGATATCAGCTCCCATCGCCGCTTCTACGGAGGGGTCGGGTAAATTCTCTCCGGGATCGTCCTCGGAGGGGAGGAGACCGGCCGCAAGATCCTGTGACCAATGTATAGGATTGAAGGCCAGATGCGACTCAGGTGACCCATGCGAGAGATGTCGGATGAGAGATGGGGGGGAATGCTCCTACTCGGGGAGGTCTCGAAGAGCAGATTCTGGGAGTGAAATCGACTTGATTTCGATGCCCGAGATTTCAGATTCATCGTCAAAAAGTCAGCCGGTGGGATACGGGGAAGAGTTCAATTTCCCCCCACCAACACATCCTCACGCTCATATGACGCACTCGGGCCAACATTCCCTTTCGGCTTCGCAGCGGCAATCACAAAATCTCGACGATCAGCAGCACCCACAACAGCAGTCGTCCCGCCAGGTTGGGGTCTCACAATCCCCCTCAAATCCGTTTTATAGTGGATGGGAGAATTTGATAGAGTTGCCAGAGCAGCGGTTTTTGCCCTTTTATTTGCCTCCATCAACACAACCCCCCAGCGGTGGCATTAGCACTTCTGCGGATAGCATGGACCAATCCCTCCAGGCTGGTGACCAACTGGTGTGTGGCATGTACTTCCCCTCTGATATAACGGACATGCCACCCTTGGCTACACTAGGAGGAATATTTGGCGACTGGGATGTGCCACCACAAGTCGACCCATTACAAGTCAAATGTGACCGGCTCATCGCAATCTGCTTTCCGGAAAATCCTGGTCGGGGAAGCTCGTCCACCGGATCGCCTGACCAAAGGATTGAACCGGACCCTACAGCTGAGGGTTTGAAAGGGTGGCTGACTCCGGATCATGTTAAGCATTTTGTCCGATTGTTTTTCATCAACTTCCAGGGGCATTTCCCGATGATCCATTTGCCAACCTTTAATATGCTCACTACAGCAGATGGTCTCTTGCTCGCCATGATTTGCATTGGTGCTGTCTATTCGGATAGGGGTATCACAGCTGAGGATGTCCGGGCGATGATTGATAGATCTTTTGCAGCGCTGGATGAGAATTATCACAGGTTCAGCGATGGGAGCCAGGTATCACCCTCATGGGAGCTTGAAGAGATCCAGGCTCGATATTTCCTTCACGTACTATCTGCTTGGCACGGTACTTTCCATCAAAGGGAAAACACTAGAAGGAGCTACGGGATTGTCATTGCAAAAGCCCAGGGAGCAGGCCTCTTCCGTCCATTTACACCTAGCAATCCGGGGGCCGCAGGGTTCAGCATGTACCACCAGGTTGGAGATCACCAGCCGTCGAGTCCGGCAGGTTGGGACTGGGCGTCGTGGGTAGAGCAGGAGAGAAGGAATAGGGTGATGTTTGGAATACTACTCCTGGACACTGCGTATGCAATCTTCTTCAACCACCCTCCACGGATAGTTCTCCATGACATTAGATTAACGCTACCGTCTGATGATGCTTCATGGGATGCCCAGGATGCCCAGGAATGCGCCAATGCCTTGGGATTGAATGGTGAAGGGCTGAATAGTAAGAATATCACCGGTTCCAGGAGGGCACAGCAACCGGAATTTATGGCAACCGTGAATGCCCTTCTTGAGCCTTCTCAAGAGTTCAGGCCGGGGACCACAAATGCCTACTCGAAGTTTATTCTTGTTCATGCACTGCACTCGCATATATGGGTTACTCAACAGAGGTTACCAAACGCTACCGAGATGGGAATTGGCCAGGAAATAGGGAGTGTGGCTGGTCCATCTGTGGAATGGAAGAATGGAGGCAACATATTGAACGCGGGTGGCGGCAGCAGTGGGGGGGAAACACCGGAAGGATGCATAGATAACACCCTAATCGGATGTCGGCCACGCTCCAACACCTTGTCAGAAGCAGCCCACGCAGTGAGGATCTGTCAGTACTCGTTGGAGAAATGGAAGAAAGCATGGGAGACGGATCTCCGCAGCCAGTTTCCGCTACCCGCTGCAAGAGTTGGGTTTGGGCGGGACGGATTGCCCTTCTATTGGCTGGCGAAGTTGTACCTTGCGCGTAACCGGACAACCGAATGGAGGCATGGGATCGATGATGATCGAACGGTTGCTAAGGTTAAGAATATGTTGAAGCATGTGCGGGGGTTTATCGCGGACGATACTGGAAGACTTGACCTACAGGGTGCTGTGTCGGCGATAGATGATGGATATGCCATGGATGAACTCACCTATGATATGAAGTTGCTGTTTAGGCCTATCGGGACGGATTGATCGCCGAGGAGTGCAAGGCCCCGTTATGGTATTCCACTGGTCCTTTGTGTTAGTGTGGCTGGTGGTTTACCTGCTCTCTCTTTTCCTGCTTAAATCAGTAGGCAGCTGTTTTTTTGGGGGGTAGGCGCCGGTTTCAACTACGGGATCTGGGACTGAGATGTTTGCTTTCTGTGTTCTCTTTTGTGCTCTTTTAAAGGGACTGGGGGAGAAATGGGAAATTTGCTACTTGATTTGGAGTCTGATAATGGGCTGGGATCACTTGCGGGGGGCCTTGTTTGCTCTCGGTTTTTGCTGCTTTTATAATTTTGCTTCCTGAGTTTTTAGTCATAACCTGTTTGGCGTGCGGGGAGGGTGTTTCTTTCTTTTTTTTCTTTTCTTTTTTTTAACAAGATGTTCTCTGGATGGAGCCTTCAAAAATTGGTTTTTGACGGTTAGGGAATGTTTGTTTTTGTAGCTATCATTTCTTTCACAGTCTATGACTTTTTTTTTACTCTTTCTCTTGCGTCTCTTTACTTACCGATGGTGAGAGGTGTATTGTCTTGGGCTTTGTTTTCCTGCATTTTTTCTCTTCCACTTTTTTCCGGTGTTTCTTTGCTATTCACCGCAGTCATGCTGTGGCCGGGCTTTGTATTCTCACATATTGTCAGTTCTCAAGGGGCCAATTGCTCGCGACGTCATATTCAAACAAATAGTCCCTTCTCCCTCTATTCTGCAGATATCCTTTCTCTCAAGGGAGAATACTCTCTTTCTTTTTATCTCGGAAGATTCTTGGAAAGAGTTCTGTTTTCCGTCTGTCTACCTTGTCGTCCACCTCTCTTACTCCTTCTCCGGGCGTTGGGTTGTTTTTGTTCCTAGCGTTGGGAAAGTTGTAACTATCGTTTGCCCTAGTAAGGGTTGTCCTGTCTGGTTCTGGAATCTCCGTCGTTGCTTTGGTGGCCATAGGGTATGGGATGCCACGATATGATCCGTTCTATGATAGGAGTTGGGCGGAGGGGATAATAAATAACTACCTACCAATGTTGAAGAAGAAGAAGAAGAAGAATCGCTTTAACTTCAGCATCTAGACCCTCCGTTGTAGTAGATTTATGATTGGTTATCGGTGACACAGATATATTCCTGTTTAGGAACACACCAGGGGAGGTTAATTACAAGTACTATACAAGTATAAGCGCAACGTTACTCAGGCGGACTCGTAGGCTGTTTTTGAGGCGTGATCGTGGTCTAGGCGCTTGAGGCGCTTGCATAAGTGATGGCAAGTCCTTCACATATAAGGCATGAATTTCCTGCAGTCGCTCTCACTGCGATGTAATAAAGCGTGCGCTCCCGAATCAGCGGGGAGCTGTGGGGGGGGAAATGGCTTTTGTATAGTGGCGTAATGAGCTCGGTGGAGGGATATGGGGAGCTGGGGTTCTAGATCAGATGGAAATGTAAAGTTTGGATCGATACCATCATGGGTTTAACGGAGGACCTCCCCCCCCCCCACTTCCCAAAGGTGTAAGGAAATGGGAAGGATGGAAAAAGGCAAGGAATGAGAAGAAAAGAGAGACCAATATGCGAACTGGTCCAAACACCGCTGATGTTCTAATTTAAAAACAATAAGTTGGAGTTCAAAGACCTTGGTTCCCCTGCCGTATATTACATAATATCATATGATACAAAAAATGCGAATCAAACCCTACAGTACCCTTCAAACCACTCCCCCAGAAAAGAGAATCCAACGAGTCTAATAATATGACAGAAAGGCAGACGAAATCCCCCTCATCGTCCCATAGTCGTCAACAAGGGTAAATCCCCAACGACTGAGAACACTGCCTATTACCGCCCCTGTTACCGTGCCCCTCCTGCAGGAGCATAACGGAGGAGACATTCTCGTACATCCGCGCGCGGTAGACCGCCTTCCTCCCGGAGCCATCCGGGATCTCCGGGTCGGCGCTGTACTCCAGCAGACAGCAAATGATGCCCGCGAAGCCATCCCGATGCCCAGCAGCCCAGTGCAGCGCCGTCATGCCCACACTGTTCCTAGCGTTCGGGTTCGCGCCGGCCCGCAGCAGCAACCGGGCCGTGTCCTCTTGGCCGAAGAAGACGGCGCAGTGTAGTGGGGTGTTTCCGTAATTCTCGCGGGTGTCCACGCTCATGCCAGCCTCCTCGATGAGCTGCCGGACGAGCCGGCAGAAGCCGCGCTTCGCGGCCCAGTGCAGGATGGTCTCGCCGCGGTGGTCACTGGCCGAGAGGTCTGCTCCTGCGGAGACGAGCAGGTCGCAGGAGGAGGGGTGCTCCATGTTCGCTGCCCAGATCAGCGGGGTCATGCGGAATTGGTCGTCGGGAGTGTTGATCTGGGCTCCGTGGGAGAGCAGCAGCTTTGTCAGGTCCGCTCTCCCGGTCCAGGCGGACCAGCAGAGGGGAGTCATGCCTGTCGGGTCCCTGCAGTTTGGCGAGGCGCCTTTGGACAGGAGGAGGGCTGCTAGTGGCTCGTGGCCCGTCTTGGTCGCCCATATTAGAGCTGGTAGGCCGTCTTTGTCCTGAATTGCTAGGGCATGGAGGGACGGGAGTAGGAGGTTTGCCATGCTGCGGGAACCGCGGAGGAGGGAATTGAGGTCTTTTGGTGAGAGGGATTCGGCGATTTTTAGGATATTTTCGCTGGGGAGCCCGCTAAGTTGCATCGCTGTGTAGACGGATTATCTGGCGACGTCTTTACCTTTTTTTTTTACAAGGCGTAAGGAGGGTCGTTTAAGGTAGGGGCTATGCCTCGGAGAAGCGGGTAGTAGTATTGGTATGGTGCGGGAAGGTGTTTATATGGTTTAAGGCCGGTGGGCAGTGTTGTTTGATAGTGGGATCTTGCTGATGTCCCAATTGGTGATTCTGAGAATGGGGAAAACCAGGAAAAAAAAAGGATAGGTTAGGTGGGCCACTACTTAAACTTTCCTCGATAGATGCAAAAATGCCCCCCAATTGCAATTACTCGTAGCGGACGGGAAGTGTCCGAAAACAGGGGTCGAGTGTTTGTATGGGTGCTCAGATGCGCACAGAGTGTCTTGCCATATATTTTGCGGATCCCTGTACTCGGGTGCTCGTTGCCTTCCACGAGGATAGCCGAGTACCGCACTGGTTCCAACATGCGGCTGTTTCTAATGCGGATCTATTAATATTAATCTAATGCTGAATGAAATCTTACACATAGCTAAACTGGGACGTACTTGGAGATAGGTCTTTCGGTGACGGATAGCATAGGGGGAGGGGTCAACGAACGGGGGGGGCTCGACGAACGCCCGACTGAAGATGTCTTGGCAGAGGGCGATTTTGAGCCCCCATGTTCGTTGTCCCCCCTTGCCATGTTTTTCCTCTCTCCCCAACAAAAGGCTTTTCCCCATCTGCTCGTATTAGAATCATGCGCCCCCCCTGCCCTTGGAGCTTGTCGTAGGAGAGGAATCGTAGATATCATAGGTGTTCGCTTCCAGATCCCCCTCGACTCGAGTTTCTCACCCCAAACCTCCACTAGAACAGTGGGCAAAGAATGGCCTCCTGGGGCTGGCCCTTAATGCTTTAGTCCGCGCAACGAGAGCACTCCTTCAGCACAGCGCGGCCCCGTGTATGATACTTTGAGAAAAAGAATCCCCCCAACCACCTACCCCACCCCAGTCGCCCACCATAAGCAAGACATAATAATGGCTGCGTCCGATATCCAAACTTTGCACTTTGAAGGAGGAAACGAGAACAGCGATGGCCGCGGCGGGCGGGCGCGATGTGTGTGTGGGTGGGGCCCAAGCTCTGATCAGCTACAGGGTATCCCATTTCTGGGCGCTCGTCACCGCGCCCCGAGCAGGGATATTACTCCCCTTCGTCTCGGGTTGCTTGCCGATCGGCTCCTGTTGAGAGAGAAGTCCCCGGTAGCCTAACGCGGTACCGGTGCTCGAACACCGGTACGGTTATGCGAGGAAGTACGGTACTCACCGGGAATTATTGCAGTTTATTTTTTTTTTTTTTGTCGGAAAGGGGTAAAATTGTGCCTTGCACTCGAGTACAAGGCTAAATACCGCAAAAGGAAGTGTAGAGCAGTATGGTAAGGTGAGTAAAAGAGATGGAGCCTACCGGTAGTAATAGGGCTGCATCGCTCGCATTTTCATCCGTCTCCTGCCACAACTTACCTTGTGACGGGGGTTTTGGAGGAAAGGTGGTGCTCGTGGAGTACAGTACAAGTATATATCTCGGGTGTCAGCTGCTTGGTCAGCCACAGGTGTCGAATCGTGGTGGGAAGTACTACCCGTATGCGAGTGTAATTGGGGCGGCGGAAGGGGCGTAGGGCGATTTTTTCCCGTTTCCCGGTTGGTGTCTACCGTACTCGAGTGTGGAGTGTCAGCCTCGATTTCGCACAATTCTTTCATTCTTTTGCGCCCCCACACTGGCTCCTTCTCTCACTCGCTTGTAAGTCGTATCAGGCTTTCTACCGTGATACTGAGATGCCATTTTCTCACGTAATGTGGCTGGAAGGAGTGATATCTACTGGGGATTTTCTCCTCACTGGCTGGGATAATGGTACGCGTAGCTGGTAATGTAGCGTGTTCAGCTTACTTTACTATACCACGATTTCGATTGTGCTCTGCGGGCCAGATATACCACAATAGTTTCAGCGCAAATTCGGACCCGATCGGGGTACTGGACCCTAGGGGGGAGGAGTTTTTGGCTGTGTGAGTGTCGAAATATCCTTTGCAAGTGCCATAATGGGAGGAGGAGGGGAGGGGGGTTCGGTTCCCCTTCCCTTCTTTCTACGGCCTAATTTGCCTGCGGAATCTCGGTCTAACGATTTGGCTGGTTGCCTGTTGCTGATGCTGAACGAGTACGGTGCAGGCTCTGACTGGGGCGAGTGAGGGTATATGACTGGTAGACCGCGACAGCTGTAGTGCGTAGCTATCGTACGCACGAGTGCCCTGGGTAGGCTGAGTTCAGCGGTTAGCTCCCTACAGGACACGACGCCAAAGAGAATATGATGCTGTAATTTGCGCTGCTATAATCGCCGCTCTTAATACCGGTAGCACTCCCGGGGCAGGACAGCTCTGTGCCGACCGCGAGTGGGCAGGCTGGAGGAGAGTAACCGGGGTAATATGATCCGAGCCCTCCCCTGCCCCGATATAGTAGATCTGCTGGTACTTCATCTCCGGTGGCGTTTTAATCTTTTTCCTCCGAGTTAGAAGAAGTTCGGTGTGATACTAGATAGCACAGTGTTCCCCTTCACCCTATTGCATGATCTTTTTTTACCAGGATGAGGAGATGTGTAGGGTCTGCGATTATTTGAGATGGCAATGAGCATTGCGGAGTGTGGGAAATCGGTAGAGGCATCGTAGGGATAGGGGAGAGATATTTGCCCGTTAAGGTTCGCAGGGATCCCCGGTAGACTGCCTGAAAACCATCCGAAAGTGAAAATGCCTAGCTATCGAACATCTTTCAAATAGCTTTCCTACCAAACCTGGCAGTCAGGCAACCGCAATTGGCCTCGGCATGTGGAGCACATGTGACTGTTAGGGTCCAATTGCGGGAATGTGTCCCAGGACTTATCTCTGGCATTATGCCTAATCCTCAGAGAAAATAACCGTTAGGTAATTGTCTCCTGAAACAGGTACCATGAATTGGTGTGTGGGGGTCTACCAGAATTTGGGATTTTGTGTGAGCCTGAGTGTGCTATCACGATGGAGTTCCTGTATAGACGTGGGCTGCCGTTATATCGGGAGGGATGTTAGTTATGTGATATCGACTATATGCAGAGCGGTAAGTGCTAGAGGAGGTAATAGAAGTTAGTTGGTAAGTAATAGTTGTGGCAACGGAGAATTAAACATTTGGTGTGCGGGCGATCGTATCCTGGATGAAAGAATGAAGGGAAGGGTTCAAAAGTTAATACTATAACATAATAGAAAGGTAAGTGATTATGAAGACCCGGTATGCACTGTATTGTACTCTGGGTGGACACACTCACAAGATACAAAGACACTTTGGCCGGGGTCTATGCAGAAGCCAAGTACTATAGCCAGCTTCCTTGCTGCTTACCCACCCACTGCCTGCTTGGGACAGATTCCTGTCCTGCTTTCTTGCTCTCTGCCCTCTGCTTATTCACTGCTAGTAGCCTCTCCTACTATCTCCCTTGAGTGGAATACGGGTACTTGTGTGCCTGACCTATATGGTTCTTGCATGTGAGTGGGTGCACAAAGGCATGCACTTCGTGACATGGTAACATCGTTCCCTCCTTCCCCATCTTCAGGTGTACTCCGGGTACGGGCATGCAGGGTTATTTTGCTATTGCAATGGCGACAGATACCGGTAGGTACATGTAATCATACAAGAAAGCGTATTCTGCCATTAAGGGTGAGTAGGGTGGGCATCTATGCAGCCCTTAAGCGATCGCGGTCTGCACTCCCTTCCTTACCCCTGTTGCGCTGGCAATGGTTTGCAATGAGCAAATAAATAAATTCTCCAAACTGAAAGGTCTGGACCGCCATATTGTGCTGTGCCGTGCGCTACGGGCGGGTGGCTACTGGGGCTTTATTGAAAAATGTGCTTTTTCGGGGAAAAGGCGTTTTCCTCCCCGGCATAGACGAGGGAGGGAATGTCACCTCCCCCCATGCGACAGCAGAGTGGTTTTTGGGATCTGTATTTTCTGAACTACATCCTGATGCTTTTATGGCTAGGAAAGGAGGAACCTTGTATAGCTATTCTTTGTCGGAGACAGGCTGTCGGCATAAACACGCAATCACTCTGTTACAAATTAATATTCGTGCTTTTGAAATACGTCAACCAAGTTATCGAGACAACGTTACGATACTCTAAGCTCCTTTGCTTCACCAGCAACAGTTTTAGTTGGAAATGTGCAGTGTGCAGCGACCCGGCATCTGTTTTGGGCATTATCCAAGATCTCTCTATGTGAACCCGCTTTGTGACACCTGGGTGCAAATGCACTTCCTTTCATTTCAAATCTCGAACCCGGGTTCCCCGTTTCTATTCGCAGGGATACCATCCAATCCGTATTGCGAAGCCAGAGATCTGTGTGCATCTATTGCCTTGCCCGATACCATGGGTGAGCCGGGTGGGTGTCGCCGCATAGAGGGAAGGTAGTACCGGTAAGGGGGAAGGCGAAAGAGAAATATGAATGATGGGAGGAATGCTTGATAAAATTTGATAAAAATGGTTATCCGGTAGGCCGGATCGTAAAGAACAGGGAGTACCCAGTGACAGCCTCACATAGCAGTTGAATATCCCCCTGCACCCTTGTGATCTGACACCCCTAACTGCGGTAACTGCAGACTTATTGGTCGGATGCTTGAACACTTCTCCGGAAATTTCCGCCCACTGAGAGAACCGGTGGGGTATTCTCTATTTTCGAGGATAGGGAGAGACAGAAGTGCCTTAACTCATTTTGTTTCCTTCCTAGGACCGCCAACAAACATCGCCGTGGCGATTTAGGTTACTCGAGTAAGTTTGGGCTTTTCGCTCCGGTTCTCCCCTTATCTATTTTTAGCCAAGCGAGTATGACCCGAGTGATCACAAGTGATGCCGATGTGGGGAGGTGGGACAGTTAGAGGCAACGGTGCAAATAAGTGGCACAGTTGGTGAACAGTGCATAGAAAGTTTAGCCCATATGATCAAGGCCTTCGGTATTAATGCAAGAGCCTGGTCGACC